TTCTCTTCACCATATTCACTGAACAGGCTTTCTCACTTGAACCCAGAGCTCACCAATTAGCTGGTCTGGCTAGCTCCTTGCTTTGAGGATCCTGGCTCCCACCTTAGGTGGCAGGTCTCCCACCTCCTTAGTACTGGGATTAGAGGCAGACTGCAATGCCTGCTCTACACTTATTTAGGTGCTGCGGGCCTGAACTCTGGACCTCAAGTTTGTGAGGCGATCACTTTACCCACTGAACCATCTTCCCAGCTGCCTACAGTTAGTTCAGGAAAAGGAGAGTAACTGCTGCTACAATGTTTTAGTCTCAAATCTGGGCGTGGGCAGTCCCCATCTGTAAAATACTCAGGAGGTGAGAGCAGGCGGCCATCCTAGGTTACATGGCAAGATCCTCTCAAAGTTTGTGGTTTAAACAGACAAATCCACGGGCAGTATCAGTGCACGCCTTTAATCCCAGCACTTGGGAGGCAGAGGCAGGCAGATCTCTGTGAGTTCGAAGCCAGCCTGGGCTAAAAATCGAGTTCCAGGACAGCTAGGACTGTTTCACAGAGAAACCCTGTCTAAAAACAAACAAAAAACCAAATCTTTACTGCTAATTTAGGAATATTCAAATTTCTTAGCAGGGCATGGCAGAACATGCCTGTAATCTCAGAGTCGAGAACTCCAGAGCATGGAACTTCAAGTTCAAGGCCTGGTCTACACAGAAAGTTCCAGTCGTCCCCCCCCTCCCCCGTAGTTGTCTTTGAATTACTCAGGTCCAAAACTCTTTTGAAAAAAATAATTTACTTATTTTTATTTTATGTACATTGGTGTTTTGCCAGCATATCTTAGAGTTACAGAAGACAGTTGTGAGCTGCCACGTGGGTGCTGGGAATTGAACCTGGGACCTCTGGAAAAGCAGTCAGTGCTCTTAACCACTGAGCATCTCTCCATGCCCCCAAGAAACCCATTTCCTTTTGTTTTTTGTTTCTTTTGGAGACAGGGTTTCTCTGTGTAGTTTTGGTGCCTGTCCTGGATCCTGCTCTGTAGACCAGGCTGGCCTCGAACTCACAGAGATCCGCCTACCTCTGCCTCCTGAGTGCTGGGATTAAAGGCGTGCGCCACTACCATTTCTTATTGTAATCCAAACAATTAACAATTTCTAGAAACTATAGTTTTCAACTGTTGATGAGCACCAAGCAAAAGAATCGCGAATTTAGCATGGCTTTTTTTTTTTTTTCTTCTCCCCTTTGAGACAAGGTCTCAGTAGGTAACAGCCCAGGCTAGCCTTGAATTTGTCTTCCTGTCTCAGACTCCCAGGTTCTGGGATTATAGGTATGTGTGCTACCCCTAGAATTTTATCAAAGATACTGTGACTTTCAGACAGTAATATACAGACCATATCCTTCTAGCCTTTTAAAAATTTCTAGAAAAATTTGTTTGTTCTGCCTGCCTGCATGCATTTGTGCATATGCATGCCTTTGCTGGCCAGAAAAGGGTGTTAGGTCTCCTGGAACTGGAGTTACAGACAGTTGTAAGTCACTATGTGGCTGCTGGGAATTGAATCCAGGTCCTCTGCAAGAGTAACAAGTGCTCTAAACTGCTGAGTCAACTCTCCAGCCCCTTAAAACCTTTTTTTTAAAACCTTTAAATGTATGTATGTTTGCGCTGTGACCAGTGTGTGGAGGGCGGAGACAACGTGCAGCAGTTTTCTCCTTCTGCCACATGGAACCGAGGATCTCACTCAGCTGTCAGGGAAATGCCTTTACCCACTGAACCATCTGACCTGGACACTCTTTGGGTACAGATCACCAAAAGTAGTGTGAATGACAAGGTACTTTGATGCCCACTGATTTTCAAGGATGGCCCTGTGCTTAACTGGTCCCAGGCCTTGCTGCCTAGTAAACAAATTCACTAGTAGGGGCTGGAGAGTTGGCTCAGGTGTTAAGAATACTTGTTACTCTTGCAGAGGACCTGGGTTTGATTCCCAGCACCCACATGGCTCCTCAGGCACCAGGCGTGCACGGATTACACAGACATAGTACACACACACACAAAATACCAACACGCACATAAAAACATCACTGAGTGGCCAATTCCTTCTGTGTCCCTTGTGAACTAAATAGAGGCACTTCTAGGGTCGACTTCTCGGCCCTTCACACCCGACTGTGTACCCAGTACTAAGCACAAGGGCAGCACAGGTGAGGCCAGGACAGCAGTGTGGACTGACTGCAGCCGGCCCAGCACAGTGCTAGTGTCCATCTTACCCTGCAGTTCCTTCAGTTCCTTGCACTAATGCCTGCTTACATGCCCGACAACACAGATCAGAACACAAACCCACTTCCGGTTTTGACCTGAGTTTTGTCTATAACTTTCAAGAGCCATACCGTCCTCTGCCATGTGGTCTGCACCTGCTTTGCAGGGACACGATGTCTTTAAATGGCAGGGCTTAGGGCATTCCCACCTCAGTTCCAAGATGTCTGTAGGGAACGGCTCAACCTGTCTCTAAGGAAAGGAGACTCTCAAGTGACTCCTTTTCCTTCTGCAGGGAGCTCTCAGAGCTGCCTTCTCCCCACAGGAAGAGCAGTGCTCAGTCTGGCTGGGCTCTCACAGCCCCTGGAGGAGGGGGAAGAACCCGCACACTTTGAAAGAAGACTCCGCACATTTTTATAATCAGAAACTTAGTTTATTTTGAATAAACCACTCAACTTTGAGCAGATGACATCACCTCAACTTTTCTTTGAAGAAAACCAAGGATCTGGTCAGTTCTTGGAAACATGTTTTTCTCTACCCTTTGCAGGGCCAACAGCAAACCAAACCCCACCCCTGCCTGACCTTGAAGATGGCCCTGATAATGTTAGCAAAGGACGGCCACTGAGGGCACCAGAGGAAGGTCTCCACCGTGAAGTGCCACCAGCTGTGGCTGCAGAGCTCCCGTAGTGCCAACGGTCAGGGTCACAGCCTGTGAGGAAGAACCCGCAGCTGTGCAGTGAGAAAGCGCCCAGGGGTCAGGCTGCAGAGCGGCAACCCTGGTCCTGTGTCATGGCGGTGCCACTGATGGAGAGGTCTGCATCAGCACGGAATCCACACGCCACCCCGGGGCCTGGGCAGGAGTACTATACTCCTTGTTCACAGTCAGCCCCCACTGTATACCAAAGTACTTCTCCCAGTCCACCCCACAGTCTCTCACTTGTCAGGACAACATGAAGAGACAAAATCTGAGGAGGTGAAAGAATGTGCAGCTGGCTAAGTACCCCAAGAGTCACAGCTGTCACCGTCTTGAAGAACAACTCAATTTTACAGCTTTACGTGGTACCTAGGTAATTGCTGACTGGAGGTGAAAATGTATGACTATCAAAGAATCTGCTTCATAGTAGTCACAGATTTCTCTGCAGGCTCTCCTAGGAGTTCAAGGAGGCCCTGTCAAGTATAGACAGCTCTGCCAGTTTCCAAGGGGAGGCACTGAACAAAGCCATGGAAACCCCAGAGATCACAGATCTAACTTTTCAAAGGCCCACAGGACCAGGTTCAAGACAGGAAGGACGCCAGGCAAGCTACCTGTTCCCTTGCACTTGACTGTGCAAGAACTGGTCCTTTCCTCTGGCCAGCCCCTTCTAGTAAAGGAACTGGGACCACAAACCAGGGATTCCCCTGGCCTTAGACTCCCAGACCCTAGAGATGGGGTCCTCTGACAGCTGCAACTAGGCAAGGGGAACACACCCCACCCCAGAGCAGCTTCTGGCCACACTCCAGCTAACATAAAAAGAACTTGTGCAAACCTAGCTCTTGAGCCCCAAGGCCCATGCCCTTGTAGGGCCACGCTAAACTCTGACCCTGATGTTCACAGGGTCAGTAAGAACTCAGTAAGACGGTGTCAGACATGGCCACATGTGACCCTAGTCAGAGTACACCACTTGAATACTGGATCAAAAGGAACAACCAAAGAAAAGGAAACTTGTTTAGGGAATGATTCCTTTCAAAGGTGGACTCTTATCTTTGTGAGACCATGCTGAACGAGTCTCCCAGTCGGGAGATGTGAAAGCCCACCTCTGCTCTGACATGGGTTCTGACGTGGTGGCCCAATTCAGGCAAGCCTCACATTCAAGAATAAAAGCAAGCCCACAGAGACACCTTGCTCTGCTCTGTGCCCTTGTTGCCCAGCTAAGGCAGAAGGTACAAGACTCCCTGGGCTCCATGCCTGGTATGAGGTCAACTCAGTTCCCCACAGTCTGCCACCCACGCTCTTCCTTTGGGACTCCAGTCACGGTCAAACATGATGCTGGAAAGCAGAGTCCACCCCAGGGACCCTGGCAGTGCAGACATTCTGAGGCTCGGTGGGTGGGCAGCATCAAGTTACATTCTAAGTAAAATAGCTAGAGGGTAAACACTCCAATGCCAATTTATTTTCAAAAGGGCTCTGTGTTATCCTATGGTTTGCCTTTTTTCTTTGTAATCGTACAGCCTTTGAAAATTACATAAGTTGTAATGATCTAATACTATTAATAGCCATTCAGAAAAAAAAAAGTTCCCTCCCTCCCAACAACCATCCAGGGAGAATTTAAGAGTCCTTACTAGAGACCAGTTCACCAAGGCCTCTACCCTGGTAGAAACAAAAAGCAAAAAGATGAGGAGAAAACAAATTGACTAAGAGGTGTGTTGCCAGTGTCTCTCAGGAGTGGGGCCCTGGCTGTTGCCTGGGGTCGTGAAAGGCAGAGCCTGCAGCATGCAGTACGGTAGCTGGGAGGCCTCACAGCTACATCTTCCTACCCCGGCACATCCGCAGCCTTGCTTAGGTGTCGTGAAAATCCTTCAGCAGGGTTCTTCTCCGTTGCTCTGCTATGTGCATTTGGTTTTCCAAGTCCTGACAAAGGACATAAAACAGGTGTTCACAAGTCCCCATGCCAGGAGCAAAGAGGAGCCAGAGCCACAGCCATCGCGGCTGTGGCTCCAAGGAGTCTAAAAAAAAATTGGATCTTCCACCCTCCACTGCAGAAGCTTTAAGTCCCTCCCCAATACAACCACATATTAATGCAATACCCTTCCCTTACCTGCAAGAGGGCAGAAGGCACTTACCCCTCTGTCATAGCTGTCTGCACGCTCAACTTTCCACGAAAGGTTTTCAATCTCAGCCTCCAGCTGAGCCTGCTGGTATTCAAACTGTATGGGCAGAGCAGGAGGGTCAAAAGGAGGGGCTGTAGCCGGGCAGGGCCTGCAGACGGAGGGTACACGCAGCACCTCAGGCTCGATTAGCAACTACAAGCCTGGTGCTGTCCTCAGAGTGCCCACTACTCTATGCCCAGAGCGGGAAAACATCATCCAGAGAGCTTCCAGGAGAGAGGACCAAACAGCAAAGCAACACTTGCCTTCTACCACTAACGGATGGTGGGGGACTTAAAGCCAAAGGAAAAGATGTCCCCAAAATACTGGGACACAGATGCTGCAAAAGTGAGGTTAAGGGACATTCTCAAGACACGGTATTCACTCAACATCTTACTTTTACCTAGCCATTTAGCCAAACAAAAGTCTGAAAATCAGGGTTAGGGATGTATCTCAGTTGGTGAAATATCTACCCAGGATGTACAAAGCCCTGGGTTCAGTCCCAGCACGGTATAAACTGGGTATGGTGGCTCATGCCTGCAATCCCAACACTAAGGAGTATCAGAAGTTCAAGGTCCTCCTTGGTTACCTAGCAAGTTTGAGGCTAGCCTGAGCTATATGAAACTAACCCTAAAATAACCAACCGCCCGACCAAATGAAAGAAACCCTTTGAAAAAACAAACAATTTGGCCTCTGTGGTAATACATGCCTTTAATTTTAAAACCTGAGAGGCAGAGACTGGAAGAGTTCATGGTGCTTGGTGTGTGTGTGTGTGTGTGTGTGTGTGTGTGTGTGTATTTTTGAGGCCCTACCTCAGAAAAAAATCAAATTCTTTGACTTAGTAACTACACACCTGATTAATAAAACGTTATTCATAAAGATTTTTCTCAGCCTCATTTGTGACAGTGAAACAGAAACAATTGTCATTTCAAATGATGATACATTAAGGCACTATATATGAAGCATTTATGTAGCCATTAAAAAATCAATTTGGGGCCGGGCGGTGGTGGCGCACGCCTTTAATCCCAGCACTCGGGAGGCAGAGTCAGGCGGATCTCTGTGAGTTCGAGGCCAGCCTGGGCTACCAAGTGAGCTCCAGGAAAGGCGCAAAGCTATGCAGAGAAACCCTGTCTCGAAAAACCAAAAAAAAAAAAAAAAAATCAATTTGGTAAGTGGTGACAGCTATAATAATGATAAACTTGTAACAATAAAGTATTGTTTTATAACTGCTGTAATGTAATTACTGTTCTATTAATGTGCTTTTATTTTAATATGTGAATGTGTTGGTCTGAGCAAATTAGAAATTTAAAAAAAAATTGTATGCATGTACCTTTGCTCAAGCTGGGGTTTCTCTGTAATAACAGCCCTGCTGTCCTGGAACTCAGAGATCTTCCCGCCTCTGCTTCCTGAGTGCTGGGATTAGAGTTTCATGTGCCATCACTGTACCTGACTGCATTTTTTTTTTTTTTAAGATTTATTATGTATACAGTGTTCTGCCTGCATGTAGCCTGCACACCAGAAGAGGGCACCAGATCTCATTATAGATGGTTGTGAGTCACCATGCATGTGGTCGCTGGGAATTGAACTCAGGACCTCTGGAAGAGCAGCCAGTGCTCTTAACTTCTGAGCCACCTTTCTAGCCCCGATTTTGTTTTTTGAAATAAGGTACTGCTATGAAGTCTAGGCTAGACCAAAACTCACAATCCTTCTGTGTCTGTATTGCTAGAATTATAGGTGTGTGCAATCATGTCTGACACTGGGTTTTCAGATGTTGGGATGGAATCCAGGATGTCACATGAGCTAGGCAGGGGCTCTTCCAAAGCCATACTCCTGTAACATTATTTTAAAGGCTAGAAAAATGCCAAATGTGATCTTTTTTTTTTCCTGGTGGGATAATGGATAATATAAATGCTATGTTTTCCACATTTAAGTGATATATAAAGATTACTTCATCACCAGCAGAAACAACCATATCTAGGAGGAGAACTGAAGGAATAAACGGCAAATATAATGTAAGGATGTGCAAGGTATGACCACTGGCTATCCAAGTGGTCACAGGCTTGGAGCCAATTGCATCAGAGGTCTATTTTACAGATGCCCAGAGCACCAATGGATTTTACAGTAAGACAGTTTGATTCTGTTCTCCCAGTGAGCAGGTCAGGATCCTGTCCACTTGCCAAGTACTGGTAAAAAACAGGCCCCTCTAAAGCTGCAGGAAAGAGTGGGAAGGCAGCTTACCAGCTTCTTCCTGGGACCAGACTCCATGTAGTACGCATATGGATAGGTGTATTGCAGGGTGTATCGACACTGTAATAGAAAAGGAAAAAAGGACCTGGATCTTCCTGACCCACACCCCAGGTGGCTCTTACAATTCATAGTCAACCATGCAAATGGTGACTCAAGACATGTGTATCTTAAAGCAATAGAAAAACTACAGAGATGATGGACTGACTACAGGAAGACAGGGTAAACTGAAACAATAATGGCTACAGAACTACCATGTTCAAATTGATTTATTACCACCAGCTGCCTCTTGATTTTCCCATCTTTAGTTGAACATTAAAATATACTTATCTTTCTTTTAAATGATTTATTTATTATGTATATAATGTTCTGTCTACATGCCAGAAAAGGGCACCAAGATCTCATTATAGATGGTTGTTGAGACACCATGTGGTTGCTGGGAATTGAATTCAGAACCTTTGGAAGAACAGCCAGTGCTCTTTTTTTTTTTTTTT